AATAGCTTAAAAACCTAGAAAACCTTTTTTGTTGCAGAACAATGCCGACCTTCAACACAAAGTCGTAACCCATGATGTATTTGGAAAAGGATTCATCAAAACCATTAAAGTAAGTTRCATGTCGAACCTGGAGAAAGCACTTGTCGTGGCAAGGGAGAGAACAGAGACCTATAGATCAGACGACGAGTACGAGAATGAGTACAAGTTTTTAACTTTTAAAGAGAGTCACTATCTTTTTGTAGTCGTAATTGTGTACGTAGATTGAAACTTTAGATTGTAAAAAATCGGAAATGGACTACGCTTCAGTGTTAACCAGGTGCACTTGACCAATCTTAAAACTTGTACTCGATCTCTCACTCATCGTCGTATCTAAAGGTCTCTGTTCTCTCCCTTGCCACAACAAGAACACATCAAACRAACTCTTAACTTACACATGATCTATATGTAATCTGAGCCGCGGCTCAAACCCAGACCATAGCAGTGAGAGGYGAGCAGTAAACCACTATGCCATCCATGCCAACCATGAAGAAATTGATATAGGAAGTTATAAAAACTTTCCTCTTAGTTTCTTTTTAGACTAAGGTAGAAGTATACAAAATCTGTCATTATATATTGAACAATGTTATTGTATTTAATGATTACRCAGACGAGTCCAGATGCATTTATCCAGCTGGCACTACAATTGGCCTACTACAAGGATTCTGATGGAAAACATCCCTTGACGTATGAAGCATCCATGACTAGGATGTATCTGCAGGTCTGTATTGGCATACACAACAAATAGAACAGCTTTTTCAGATCCCTGCTCCAACAGTAAAAAAAAAAAAAATCTACCAGTTTTGTCTGTAATCAAATTAGAGACATTTAGCATGACATTCTTGCTAGGTACTTCAATAAACCTCATACTGCAGTTCGACTTGTAAGCTGTAATAATAATAAGGAATAAGACCCAAAGATTTGATTAGCTGTTTGGTAACATTGCCTGGGATCATTCTTCTGGCACCCTAGTTACGTCCTAATTGCTGGACAACCCAGCAATTATCCCTGGGGGGGGGGGGGTGGTACTCTTACCCGTTTTAGGGTAAGGATGTGCTGCTGAGCCCTCTGAACCCTGACCCTATTCCAGAGTAAAAATCTCTGAAATTCATACCCTGTTCCAGAGCAAGATCGCTGAAAACCCCGTTCCAGAGAGAAGAGAGTGTGATTTCATATACCCTGTTCCAGAGCAAGCGCGATTTTTTATACCCTGTTCCAGAGTAGAATCACTGAAAACCATACCCTGTTTGGTGGCACGTACCTGTATGGTGAATATAGGGGAGTAACCCCCCCCCCCCCGGGCAATTATCTCCCTTTTTCCATTTAGATATATTAGATCTCTTGACATCTAGACAAACGTAAATCTGAACCAAATATCTTTTCTGTGTTGTCATTTTTGCAGGGAAGAACTGAAACTGTTCGCAGCCTAACACAAGAGGCAAAAGATTTCGTCAGGTCCTTCATGGACAAGAGTGTCCCACGAGAAGAGGTGAAAAAGCTGTTCAAGAAAGCTGCTGATCGGCATGCTAGAAATTACAAAGACTGTATGAATGGCAAAGGCATTGACAGACACTTGTTTGCTTTGTACATTGTCAGCAAGGGACAGGGAACTGTAAGTACAATGCATCTGTCACTAGAGGGAACTTTGGGAGAAGTCTGACAGTACAGGGGATTCATATTAGTACTAATGGTAGTGATGGTGATGATTTTAATAGTGATGATGATGGTGGTGGTGGAAATCATGATGGTGGTGGTGGTGGTTAAGGTGTTAATAATTATGATGATGATATTGGTGGTGGTGGAGATGATGACAATGGTGGTGGTGATGGTGTTAATAGTGATGATGATGATGATGGTGATGGAGATGATGATGATTATGGTAGTGTTAATAGTGGATAATGATGGTGATGATGATGATGAC